TATAATAAGGAATCCAAGAAATTCAAACATAATATGGATGGGTAGGGGTTGAAAATGAAAAAGACTACAAGGCAATTAAATTTGAATGATTTACTATGTATTATGTATTAAATAATAATTTTTATTCAATTCTTATTTAATCTTTCTTTTTCACTATATTATATATTATTTTTCCAATTTCAACTGATTTAAGTTTTGATTTATTTTATTTCGCTCTCTGCATAAATGATATTTATTAATGATATTCTTTATCAGTTTTCTGAGATTATTATATTAATATTTTATCAATTTCTTAAGATTTTTCAGTTTAAATCCCTTTTGTTATCCTATACCAATAGCCTATCAATTTAAATATCACTTATTTAAAGTGAAGATCAGTAATTGGATACAAAAAGCCTTGAAAATACTTATGAAAGTACTTAAAATTTTCCTAATTGTTTAAGCCATTTATCTAATAATAACCCTTTATCTTATGGCATACTTTATTTCATAAACTGAAATTCAATTAGAGAAATTCCTTATAAATTTGAAAGTGTAAGATTAAGAGTTTATATAATTGATAATTTGCTTACACTAATTTCAATTTTATAGGAATATATTACTAATTTTAAATAATAGTTTTACCTCATTATGAATATTTTTTTTTAATATTATTTAAATTATGATTAAGCTTTTGACTAAGAGATAAATTAGATGTATTGTTTTTAGTTTTTATTAAATATATAATCTAATTTAAATAAGAAATAGGTGAATTTATTATTTATTTTTATTAATAAAATTATACCATATAATTGATATTAACTCATAAATTTAATAATTTTTTCAATTAGCTTCTACACTCTTCCATATTCTTATCTAATTCTTCCTATTAAATAAATAAAATCAAATAAATACAGATAGCCAATCAATTTCTAAAAGGTAATCCTATAGCAAACAATTATTGTCAATAGATATCAACTCTTCATTATCATGTGATAACAAATATAAGTAAAATGCATCTGCTAATTGTTTTCTTACTTTAGGAAAACTAAATTTATAAATCTAATATATTACTCGCTAGTTAATATATCATAGATATGTTAAATGATTTGATGGAATAATTCAGCATTGATCGATAAAATATCAATGATTAATTGAACACTGGCTGATAATTTATTAATTGATTAAGTCTTATGAGTTTCTTTGTAAATTAATTAAATTAAGGTTTCAGTGTAATATTTAATCATAGGTAATGATTGTATTTCTTCTTTTTGTAAAACAAGTGAAGCTGTTTTAAACAATGGAATAACAACTCTTTCATCTAATGCATATAATTTAAGTATTTCAATCAAATTAGTCATTATAAGATCAAGATTTTGATTATTTTGTATATATTAAACTAATGCTTCTTCACTAAATTTTTGGATTGATTCACTAATTCCTCCCACACTTATACACAATCCTGTTAAGATATATCTACAAAATGTAGGATAAGCAAGAATTGGAACTATTAATCTATAGCAACAATGTGGTAGATTCCAATGATAAATTAGATCAGTTTTTCCAATATTTTAAAGAAGATCTTTTAAATTTTTTATTTCAGCCTCAATTATTTCACTTTAGAAGGTTTGATCAACTCTTTCTTAATCTTTTATTATGGTTTATTATAAATTGGCAGTTGAGAATATAGCCGATATTTATTCGTAATTTTCAAATTTTTACAATTTAGGAAATACAGATTTAAATAACTCTTACAAAACACTTCCAGCTAATAATCTGACTCTATCAATCTTTTCACATAATTATTATAATAATTATCCAATAATTTTGATAATATATTATTCATTTATGATTATATTATTGATATGATTTCTTTCAATATATCCTACATAACTGACTAAAATAGATTGAATTGCAATAATTGAATTTTCTCTAATGAATAACCCAACATCTCCTTTTTTATTTACTGTGTAATCCAACATAGCATAAAGAATGCAATCAATAACAGGTAAGAGTTGAGCATCACAATTAAAATTATTGTTTAATTAATTAATTATCCCTTATCCAAGAGACTTTATTGCAAATTTTCTAGTGTCTGGATCTATACTCCAACTTGTTAATTTTGCTCTTTTTTTTGATAATCCAATAGTGTACAATATACTGAGATCTTCATTATGGAGTACTTATGGTGAAAAGGCTCCTACACTTTAAGCATATCCACCTTAAATTAATACTTAAGCATTAGTAGACTTTTGATTTAATTATTTTATAATTCTTTTTAAGAATTCTTTACCATCTATCAAGAATTGGCCTTAAATTTGATATTAATTACTTAATAATCTTAAAGCTTTGGCTGCTGATATTTGTATTTCTTCCAAAGGATTCTTTAATCCATCTTCTATAAATTTCAAATAATATGCATGTTATTCTACTTATAATGGTAATTTAGAAATAGAGATGCATTCAATTAGTCTATAGGAAGCAATTCTAATTTATTCTCCACTCTTTCCTTTTAAAGAATCCTCTAATAATTTAGGTATTTGCATAATCTCATCTATAATTTCTTATGAAAGTAAATTCATATTGTCTACTTGAAGTAATTGCTCATATTAGGTTTTAAATATTGTTATATGTTCGCCAGCTTTTGCTAATTATCTATCATTTTTAGTTAAAGTTCTAAGGAAAACTGAATCTTTTAATTCTTTCTCTTCTGAATTCTTAGTGATATTTCCTGATTATGCAATAAGTAAATCTCCTAAAGCAAATAAAGCACCATGTTTTTAATTCAATGATTGTAATCTTACCATTTTCAAAATACTTTCATAAATCAAATTATCTTTAAAATAAGTTGGATCCAAAACTAGTAATCTTCCTAAACTCTTAGCAGCCAACTTTCTGACTTCTTTATCTTGACTTGCTATTTTAATAAAAGCTAAATGATCAACCATTTATTTATAATATTCTGGATAGGAAGCTATAAATGGAGCAATTCTTAAATATGCATTATGAATCATAGCCAATGAGAAATAATCAGCTTCCGTTAGAATGCTTATACCATGTGGTATAATGTTTGGACATCTTCCTACCAATTCTTAGAAAGTACTTGAGGCTGCTCTTCTAACATTTACTTCTCTATCAAAAATCATAACAATAACTAAATGTTATGCTAAAGCGAGAACGTGATTTTTTAATATTTCAGGATCATATGCTCTTGCAGCTGACCAAGCAATAAAACAGGCTGAATCTCTTACATTTACACCAATACTATAACCTCCTTAATTCTATTCAAAAATCAAGGCTTTGCAAATAATAGGAATAATAGATTCTAATTTATTTTCAAGAATTAATCCTCTTCTACATAATTCTCCTAATGCTAAACATCCACCATGCCATGCAGTGTCTCCATTTATTGGAGTAAAACATGTGTTGATTAATGAATCAAAAATATCATCTGCTTAATCTAAATTCAATCGAGCACAGATTCTACCTATACCCTTTGCAGCTGACCATCTTACAACAGTATCCTTATTTATTATTTATTATAATAAAGTATCTACAACAGTTTCTAATCCTTCCTGATCTACATCTAAGAAATAATCTACATCTTCTAATTAAATATTTGATTGTTATTATTATTATAATTATTAATTTGTTCTAGATATTTGTGAATTAGTGACAATTCTTGAATAATCAATAATTTTTAATGTTTATTATAGATTAGTTGTACCTTTTTTATATGTCCAACTAACAACTCTTGGTCTTAAATATACTAATCCAATTCTTTAAGTTAATTTAGTTAGAAACAGATTAATTAAGGTACCTTATTATTTCAAGTTTAACAAAGGTAATAAGATATACAGATTATCCTTTAAAACATCTCTTTAAACTACTTTAAGAATTTCTACCAATGTTTCTAGAATTCCTGTAATATAAAAAGTATTAAGTATATTATCTTGCAAATCATGAATTTATTTAACACTCCATTTCAAAAATTATTCTAATAAATTACATTTTAAGATATCTGTTCTACTAAACAATTTAGATAAATATAATGCTCCCATATTTCTTAATTTTGTGGATGATTTTAAATAATTGACTCCCAAATTTAATAATGAGTTTATGATTGTATTACTTGAAGTAAAAGTGTCTTAAATAGAATTAAAGATTTAAGAATCTATTGAATTTAAATCAAATGGAACTAATACTATAATACTTAACCACATTAATATAACATATTTAGTTTCCCAATTCTAATTAAGATCTGTTGAACAATTTTACAAATACATAACAACTGGTTCCAAATTGCATACTTCATGTGGACAATATCTACTGATTGTTCTTATTCCTCTCACTTTTGTTAAAATATAAATTGTATCACAAATGTTATGAAACTCCTCACAAATACTTTGTCCAATATTATTGATATATTTTAACACATACACCTTTACTACATCCATCAGACTCACACAAATCTATTCTAAGATTTAATCTAATAATGTATTTTGTTCTTGGTATTTTTCAAATATATGACATACTCTATTCTTTACTTTTATGAATGGGAATTTCTTCAATTAGGTATTGTTTTCATTTTACACAATGAATTTTTATGTAAAATAAACACACATATTTTTTATATCCTTTATTATTATTTCAAAATCCATTTACAATTATTCCTCGTGCTACTTAGTTGTCATCTATTATTCAGAAATACAATATGCAGCACTCTATTTATCTTATTCTTCTAATTCATCATATTGTAAGTTGTTATATTTCTTTCTTAAATTCAGATCTTCTGATTCATAATAAAATGCCATTGTTATTTTTATAAAAGAAATTAATGTTAATTTATATTATCACAATTATTCCCTTAATATTAATATATAATTCTAAAATACTTCAACATTCTGACTTCTTGTTGTATCATTTCCAATAGTCACACATGAATAAAATATACTAAATTTCTAATCCACTATAATTTTTATTTACAATTGAATCTTATAATATATGAGTCATTTTTTTTATCAAGTTAAATCCATATTGAACATAATTCTTATTATCTTTTATTAAATATTATTAATCTAATCCATTTATAAAGCCATGATATCCTGTATATATTGCATCCGCATTAATTAAATTTAATATTGCAAACAAATCTCTTATTATATCATTAGATCACCTTTACAAGTTCTTATAGTACCAAATGAGCGGTCTAAACATTGCTGCTTCCTTTAAAATGTTTAAAAGTAAGTCTTCTTCCAAAAGGTTTCTCTGAAATTTTCCTTCAAGTATCCTGCCTTCATTTTAAAAAAGGCCTAATAAAATTTTTATTAATAAATATCTTGAAATATATCGGAAGCTAACTAATAAGTAATTGCCAGCTAATATTTCTGTCTTCAAGAATTTTAGAATAGTTTACGTTTTCTTAATTAATTTATATTAATATATCAAATTTAATGAAAATATTTGGAACTTTTTTTTATCTTAAACTTAATAATCTTATTAGGATCAAATTAGGAACTGTATTACCCTTGTGAATTTTGCATTATTAAAGTTTAGATTCTCTGATTTAGATGATGTTATCATAATTTTTTGTGAGCTGAGTAAAAATTAGATATTGTAGAAAGGTGTTGAATTAAATATAAATATTTATTTCTAAAATTTTAAATTCTTATACTACATGTTAAATTCTGAAATTTTTGATATTGAACTATATTGCATAAATACAATTTACAACTTGTTTGATTCTTAAATTATTTTTGACAAAATATTATCAAAAAAATTAAAACCAACGCAATTTACTTTATCAGATATTTATTTTGTTCACCAAATTTTTTGGGCTCCGATTGCCAATCAAGTGCCGACAACACTTACTCTATATATCTACAAGATGATTTCCAAGAAAATAACGATTTAATCCTTTTAAGTTCAACAAAAATAAAAAGGAGCCTTTTGGATAAAATATTACTCTTCCATAGAATGTAAAAAGGAATTATATCAAATAATAATTTTACAAAAACTTCATTTATTAGCGTTTCTAATTTTCAATTGAAATTTAATTTATTCATAATGGCTTATTTATGATTGTAATTATCTTTATAATTGATAATTTTTATGTTATTTTTCAATTCATAAATGTCATATAGAGATATGAAGAGAAAAATCATGAAAAATGTAGCTTTTTTATTTAATAATAATGTTGTATTTTCAGATGATAAAATTTATAGTAATTTTTTATTCATATTGTTCTTTTGTACTAGTAAATATGGTTGTAAGTTAGATTATAATTTGGTTAGTATTGTCTGAATTTGGATTATAGTATCATAACATCTAAAGAAGTTAACTTAAAGTCTGATTTTGTGGTAAAAAAAAACTAAAAATAGAAAAGTTAAGTTAAAGGGACAAATAGTATTGAAATTTAGGTTATTCATGATTAAAAAAAATTAATTCAAAAAATTAAATTTATATTATTCTAGAAACTGGCAAGATGTTGATCAGCGTATGAAAAAAATTTTATTATGCTACTTAATCATCTAGGGGCTTATTTTAATATTTGTAGAGTTAAAAAAATTAATTTAATATTTTTAAAGGATTGTAAATTTTATAATAAATTGATCAATTTAATTCATAATTATTATTTATATATCGATTGTCTAAATATTTTTATCAATATAATTGGTAATTAATATTTTTATACTTATATAGCAATATAAATTGTACATAAAAATTGTATAAATATTAATTATTATTTTTTTGAATAATGACTTTTCTGATAAAGAATATCTTAATTATTAATTGATCTTTAATGGAGTATTGAAAGTAAATATAAATTTATTCATTCTAATATCAAATAAAAGAAGGAAAATTTTATGTACCACAGCGAGATCAAGGCAGCATTTGGAAAAGTTTTAATTAAACTATAAATAGAAAATAAGATATTGATTACAAATAAATGAAAGCCAGTGTTGAGAGATAGTTCTATATCAATACTATCAACGAGAAATATTCAATCAAACCAAAAATTAATTAAAATGTAGAATTGGGCTATATTCAAAAATTAAAATTATTAACTTATTTACAAGGTTACAAAGTTACAAAACCATTTTTAATTTAACGTTCTATGCAACCACACTTTTTTTTTTTAATCCGTATGAATATAAAGCATAGTTAGAAATTTTTCTTTACATTTTCATGTTAATCTTCTTTAGTATTTGTCCCAACACTATTAAGAATTACCTTAATAATGAAATTTATTGTTTAAAAATATTAATTACATTAATAAATATTGATAAATAATATTAGAGAAAATATATAATTAATAGCCATCATCCGAAAGTTTATTCTAAATATTTTTGCATATTCAACTGATTTTTCTCAGTTTAACTCTAATTTACGGTAGGGTTTTACAGAGAAGTTGAAGCAATTGAAAATTGTCTTTAATTCAACAATTTTTATCGATTATTGATTAAAAATAAGATACTATTTTGCATTATATTTGGATGAAATTAAAAGATGATTATTTTTAGAATCGAAAATTCGATTTTTGTCAGTTTTCAATTTCTTGTTTTAGGTGATCGAAAAACCGTTTTTAAGAATATTATTTCAGTTTCATAATAATTGATTTTTTCGTCAATCCAAATGTACTATCCATGTATATCAATCCCTGTATAATCTGCCATTAAAAATGNATAAATACTTATAAAGAATTATACATCGTAAATCTAATAATTCTGAATATTTAAAGTATATGTAATTTAAAAACTTGATTTATTTTGGTATGCTTATGTAATTATTATTATTTTTTTGAATAATGACTTTTCTGATAAAGAATATCTTAATTATTAATTGATCTTTAATGGAGTATTGAAAGTAAATATAAATTTATTCATTCTAATATCAAATAAAAGAAGGAAAATTTTATGTACCACAGCGAGATCAAGGCAGCATTTGGAAAAGTTTTAATTAAACTATAAATAGAAAATAAGATATTGATTACAAATAAATGAAAGCCAGTGTTGAGAGATAGTTCTATATCAATACTATCAACGAGAAATATTCAATCAAACCAAAAATTAATTAAAATGTAGAATTGGGCTATATTCAAAAATTAAAATTATTAACTTATTTACAAGGTTACAAAGTTACAAAACCATTTTTAATTTAACGTTCTATGCAACCACACTTTTTTTTTTTAATCCGTATGAATATAAAGCATAGTTAGAAATTTTTCTTTACATTTTCATGTTAATCTTCTTTAGTATTTGTCCCAACACTATTAAGAATTACCTTAATAATGAAATTTATTGTTTAAAAATATTAATTACATTAATAAATATTGATAAATAATATTAGAGAAAATATATAATTAATAGCCATCATCCGAAAGTTTATTCTAAATATTTTTGCATATTCAACTGATTTTTCTCAGTTTAACTCTAATTTACGGTAGGGTTTTACAGAGAAGTTGAAGCAATTGAAAATTGTCTTTAATTCAACAATTTTTATCGATTATTGATTAAAAATAAGATACTATTTTGCATTATATTTGGATGAAATTAAAAGATGATTATTTTTAGAATCGAAAATTCGATTTTTGTCAGTTTTCAATTTCTTGTTTTAGGTGATCGAAAAACCGTTTTTAAGAATATTATTTCAGTTTCATAATAATTGATTTTTTCGTCAATCCAAATGTACTATCCATGTATATCAATCCCTGTATAATCTGCCATTAAAAATGGATGGCTAGGCTATTTGAATTGAGTTCTTACTTTTGTATTTAATTGATCCATAAATATTATCATCGAGATTTTTAATTATGATTCGATAATCGATTATTTTTTCAAATTCAATATAGAATTTTAAGCAATTAAAACAGAATATTTTTATTTAAAAGAGTTAATGCAGTCATGCATAATGAGAAAAGTAATATTAAAATATATAAAAAAAATGATACAATCCTGTTAAAGAAGTAAAATTAGATCTACTATCGTTTTTGATCATGGAAATTAAAAAGATGACTAACAGAATAAAAAGGTATTGTAATAAGCATTCTAGATTAAAAAATATAAAAAAAGAATATAATTTTTAATAAATTAATCATTAATCAATTATAATCTGGAATTTAAATATATTAGTTTAAAATAAATGAATTATTATAATATACTTTTCATTTTTTACATTTTTTTATAGGATTATAGTTTTTTGTGCTTAATCTTAAAAATAAGTCTTCCTGATTATTAGATTTAAATAAATTTTTTTAATAAATTATTACGTATTTAATTAATGTGTTTTTGTTCGAGTTTATTCAGTCAAAAATATGAATATATGATTTATCTATTAAAGATAATGTTGGATTATGAAAAATCTATTGAAATCGATTTTTATAAATTGAAATCTTTATTTCTTATAAATTAACTCCATGATTCATATTAAATTTCATTTTTTATTTAAAAAGTAAAATGCCTATTTGGATAGATTGGAATGATTATATTGGAATTATTCTAAAATTTATGATAATAGCAATGCCGTTTATAGTATAAGGTTGTCCCTTTACAGATTATGAATAGAGTTTACTAAGTAAGAAATATCAACTAGAAATTACGTCTGTTGAAATAATAAATTCCTCACAATCGTTTGCTTTTTGGAGTTTCTGTATTCCATCTTGGGATGTGGACTCATATCCATAGATAGAATAAAGGCTGTTTTATGATTATAGAAATTAGTAACTTCTGTTTTTAATGAAATCGGAAGATGATCAATCTTTAATAATGTTTATGTATGTTGATTTTACAGCAGGAAATTAAAAGGGAGTAATTCATCGACTTCACATCACAACTGGAGATTTAGAAAATATATATGAGTATGCTTTTGATTCTAAAATTTATGAAGGAACATGGATATTAAGTATGATAACTATTCAATAATAATAAATCATATTTTAAACTTCAGAATCTGCTGATTATTACGAGATATAGAATGAAATGCCATAATCAAATAAAATTACTTTTATCATTGGAGGTACTGGAATTGTAATTTAATTATTTATGATAATAGGTTCATCAACAATATTAGCTAGGAATATTTAGAGGAAGATTATCAACTCTTATAAAATATAATGATCAATTAAATCAAAATTTTGAATGGGTATAATAAAATTGTTATGTACCTGTTCTACTATAAGGAGAATAAACAATATATTTGATAGAGGATATTTAAATTTTTGAAGGAAATAATTAAATCATAAAGGAAATAGATTAGGTAGGTAAAAAATTTTATTTTTCTGGTTGGGTTAAATATGATTTTACAGAGGCTAGTTTCACTACAACTTATTTGTTACTCAGACTCACAATTTTTAAAAATTATGGTGATGAACTTAGATTAGGTGATGAATTGGCTAAAATCACAGTTAATTTAGACATTTCACAACCTAAAAATTGTGGTTATGATGTAATATCACACTTGTATTCTACTCCATTATTAGGTTCTGTAAATTAAAATTAATAGGAGAGGCTTACATTTAGAGATGATGGGTAATATTATTACCAATAATTACAGTAATGGCATATGGTATAATTTACTTATGAATAACATAATGGGCCTACAGTTTCTTTTAATTTTGTTTCTTCGAATAATATAATAATTGAGAAGTTTCCTGATGAAAATGCTTAAGGTTTATTTATAAACACTAGATATTATGCTATTATAGGGAGTGATCGCACAACATTAAAAAAGCTTAGAGGTTAATTGGCAAATTTAATATTTAGATTTAATTATTAATCAAATACTCAAATAAATTTAAGTATTATAATAATATATAAATAATTAAGTAGGTTGTCATTACACATGCAATACTTGCAATGGTCCATTATTAACAAATTGTTTAAAATGTTATGGTCAATAAAATAGAATATACTCAGAAGACTTGAAAACATGTTCATGTCAATAAGGTTACATTGAAGAATTAGGAGAATGTAAATCATTCACTGAAATATATCCTTTGATTTCATTCTTAAATGTTATTATACATCAGAATATGTATATATGCGAACCTGGGTACTTCCTCTTGCCTACTATCTAATAATGTATTAAATGGTATGATTTTATATATACAATATCTATAGTCCTTAACAAAATTAGGTACATATATTATGTGCTGATTGTTTAATTAATCCAAGTACTTGGTTCTTAAAGCCAGTTTGTAAGATGGACTATATAGTTGATGGTGAATCTGGAAAGCCTGCTTATAGACTATAAGAAAGATTATCCATATATTACGATGTTTATTTTATTGATTTCACTTCTAATTTGGTGTTGATTGGAGGAGCTGAAAATTATTGTAACACTGAATATGATTATCCTAATTGCTTTAAAATTGAAGAATAAACCCATTTGTTTCAACCTTTTTATATTTTTTGTAAGTAGGATCATTATTAATAGAATAAAAAATGTTTATAGTCCATATAAAATTGTATTAAATCAGATTATGAATCTTATAATTGCTTATAATGTGATGTAGGATATTATTTATTTGAAAATCGATGTTTACTTTGTTCAAATTTTTGTATGAAATGTAATATAAACAATGGAATTTTGGAGTGTCTTTAATGTCCTGATGGATATGAAATTTAAGGTGGAGATTGTTTAAAATGTGGCTTAAATTGTAAGACATGTAAATTGTAATAGATTAAGGATTCTAATTTTAAGATTATGTAATGTTTGAAATGCATACATGATTAAAAATATTATATTTCTTTAAATGGTGAAGACTGTTTTGAAAATCCAATAAAAAATTGTCTTTATGCTTTTGAAGTGTCAAGATATTAAAAAAAAATAAATTCATTAGATTATTAATTTACTCCATATTTTGATAATACTTATGTAATATGTGGATAATGTTAACAATAATATGCTTTTAATGAAGAAACTAATCTATGCTAACTATAAAAATCATCTGATTGTTATTATAGTTATTTATCTGCAATCACATAATTCGAAGAAGTATGTTTGTTTGGACCTAAGATAAAATCATATAGAGATCCTGTTTCATTTATTACAGAAAGTTCTTGTCTTAATTATAATTGCCACATTTGTATAATTGGATAGATTAATATTAAAGTATCATACTTATGTCTTGAATGCAATAATGGATATTATGCAGAAATATTAACTGGTTTATGTGTACCTTGCCCTTAAACATTAAAATGTTAAGTTTGTTATTAATAGAATAAAATATCAAAAGATAAATGGAAGAATTAAGTTCGTGCTTATTATAGATAAGTAATAGATGATGATTTACAATCACATTCTTTTATTGATTATGGTCTTAGTTAAAATCCTAATGATTATGAAATTATCTGTCAATTTTGTTTATAAGGATATGAAATTCATAACGATAAATGTATATAAGTGTGTTCAGATACTTGTTTAAAATGTAAAATAATTAATGATGAAAATATCTGTATTGAATGTCCATCAATTCAAGGAAAAAGAAGTTTAAGTTTACATAATAATTAATGTATATAATGTTCTAGAAATTGTGTATTTTGTCGTTAAAGAGAAGAGGATGAAATCAAATTAATTAATCCGATATTTAATAATCAAGAATTTAATTATTATTCAAATTAGTGTTTATAAAGATAAAAAGGATATTTTGATAAAGATTTAAAAATGTATGTAGATTGTCCTTTTTGGGATTGTATGAAAGAAATATAGATTAATTTATACTTGCATTGTTCTCAAGAATAATATTACTAGTAAATTTAATCTTTAGAGAGAGAAGAAGATGTTAGAAGTTATAAACAATCAAATTTATTATTAGATGATTTATTTTCAACATCAAGTTTTCAAGAAGTAGAGTTTGTATATAATTTTAGTTTGAAACACCAGAATTTTATTAGATGGCCAATGAATAAGTAATCAAATCAATTATCATTCGAATTTTCAGTTTTGAATCACAAACTTGCATTATTTATAATAATAAGAGTATTAAATAAAAATTTAGTTAAAACATTTTCTCAGCCATGTATGTTATTTATTTAAAATAGAAATATCTAACTTGAACTTTATGGAAATGGAAATACAGTTTTTTTATATGATAAGATAATATCTATTGTAAATTTTAAGAAAGTCCATATTGAAGGTATAATATTATCACCATTATCTGTACATAACCTTAAATAATTATTTTTTCATAGTGTTTTTGAATAAACAGTATAATTAATGGATATTCGTTATGAGAGTAATCTGATATAAGATTAATCATAAATTCTAATATGGAATTCTACTAATATTCATATTGATACATTCTTCACTTAAAATCTCAATTTAACTGATATCTTTGCATTTATTATAATTGAGTAAATAAAAATGGTCTAAACTATTCATATTTCAAACATTAAGATTATAGATTGTTACTTTAAAAGTCTTAGTGTATTTTACCTTAATACTAAATCAAGTGATACTCTATATTTCTTAGAATCAAATTTCAGTTCAACATTTGAGATTTCTCAACTTATAAATTCTACTTCTGGATAACTTATAGTTCAAAATATTATAATTAAAAATAGTTTGATAATTGATGTGATCAATTTAATTGGTGGTAAACTATTAGAATCTATTCAAGTCAATTAATTTTAAATGTATAAAAATAGATTGATTAATTCTACGATATTTGGTTTGAAAACATTCTTTTACATAACATCCTTCATTTTTACTGAAAACAATATATATAATGGATCATCAATCTTTAATAATTCTAATTATTCAACAAGAAATTTATATTTTAACTAACTAAAATTTTCATTAAATTTAAATGATAAAAATTCTAAATTTATACAAATTAAAAACAATTAAATTGTAAATTAATATCTGTTTTTTAATGGCTTAACTCTTTACCTTAATTCATTAGATATTAAATCCACATAACCCCTATTTGATAAGTAGGATGAATCCTTAATATTTTTGGAAGCCTAATCAATATAGATTAATAATCTAATTATAACAAGAAGTTTTGGAATCAAAGATATTGTTATATAAAAAGGATTATAATTAACATTAAATTAAGTTAAAATTCTATAAGATAAACAATATTTTATTTAAGGACTTCATTAATATTTTGATTGTATACAAAAAAATATAGAATCTAAGTAATATTTTACATCAATTTATTTATATAATATCTAATTTATAAGTCTATAATAAATAATAATAGAATAGGTTTCAATTATTAATTATCCAATCATTAATATATAATCCTCAATTGAAATGATCACAATTTCTAAAGAAATTTATGCTTCAGAATTAAATTTCTAGAATAATTTACTATTAATAACAGATTAATTAAAACAATCATCCATTTTATAATTAACATCATAATCTGAATATTAAATAACTATTATTAACTCAGTTATGGAAAAGAATTTAATGCATTATTATTAACAAAATGATCTCATTAATAATGCATTACTTTTGAACTTTGATTGTTCTCATTGTACTTTAAAACTTTCAAACATTACAATAAAATCTAATATAGTTACTAATTCTTCTTAAAATGTAATTTTACTTAAATCAAAAACAATAATTATGACAAATATCATTTTCTCATTTAATTCAATATTTGATTATAGTATATTACAACCTTATATCTTATGGGGATATAAAGATGATCATGAAATTTATTTAGAGAACATTATTGAAATCTTTCCTATTAAAGTATAAACTGGAAATGCTAAATTGGCAGGTCAGAATATCTAAATTACAAATATAAGTGTATCAAACTCTGTTGGTTCGGCATTTCATATCTCACTTGAGAATCAAGCTATATGTTTAATAAAGAATGCATAATTCTCTAATATAGAATCCTTATTTTTTGAAAAAAATGAAAATGGAGGTATAATTCAATTTGATACTACTCGTATTGTTGAAGCAAATATAACAATTGAAACAGTAAGATTAAATTATATATATTGCCGTTCTAAAGGAGGTTTTATCTATTTACATAATGGGCAAAGTAAATTGTAATTATTGATTTCGGATATATTGATGTAAGATGTATATGCTCTTCATGGGTCAATACTTTATTGTGAATTTACAGTATAATCTAATACAAGTAAAATAATAAGTTTGACAAATCTTTAAATAATGAATACACATATTGGTTAGTTGAGATTCTTGAATCATTTTAACAATTTAGAAGCCTCAGAAGAATTAAAATAGCTAAGTTATTAAAGATACTTAATTTATGTTGATAATGTATAAACAATAAAATTATAGAATATTTTAATCAAGAATCTAAATTATGAATCATTCCTTTAGATTTCAAATTTTGCTTAGTTAATAATAACCAAATTAATAATAACAGATTCATTATTTTTAAATATAGGTATGTAAGTAGATAACCAAAATAGTATTTCATCAATATATTTAAACAATATTCAATTAAAGAACATATCTATTTTAGAGATTTTTCCAGAAAAAACTGACTGCGTGATTTAATAGATAAATCGTATACCTTATTAATCTTTTTAATGCTTAAATGAATCCTTTGTAAGGATATCTCCAAAGAGTTTACAATAGTTCTATGACTAGGATCTAATTGATTTTTGTATACTTTAGAAGATGAAAATGCAAATGGGAAATCAAATAATAAGTTTTATTGATATTATTCCTTATAAATCAAATATCACAATTTAAGAATTAATATTTTAAGATATAAATTGTGAAGTTTGTGATAATGGATTATTAAACATTAAATTATCTGATAGTCAAAGTTATTTAGATATTAAATAACTCAATATTTAGAGAAATAAATGTGGGAAATCAAGTTGTGTAAATATTATAAAAAATTAATAAAATTTACGTAGACTATAAAGTATTATTCAATATGTGAATAGCAAGAATTATTAATTAATTTTATTAAATTTTATATGCTATTAAAATTATGGTTATGAAGGTACTTGTTTAAGAATGTAAGATGTGACAACTTTAATTATTTCTTCAATTTTTAAGAATAACACTGCCATAAATAAAGGAGGTGCAATTTTTGTTAAAGGAAAAGAAGATTTTTATTTAGAATAATCAATAATCTAGAGTAATTTAGCTAAGATTGGAGGTGGTTTATTTATGGCTGATTAAATGAATTAAAATATGACAATTTTAGGTTCATTAGTTTCTCATAATGAAGCATAACTTTATGGGGATGATGCTGCATAAATTCCTTGTTAATTGTTTATTTCAGTAGACATGAAGAATTATTTACCTAAAATAAAAATATTATAGACTAATGATTTAATGATAGAATAAATATAAATAAAGAAATATGAAGTGATGAAAAATGTAATTACTGATGTTATTTATTTTCCTAATGGGTAGAAAATATCAGAATATAAATATTTTGATTGGTAAAAAGCAGAATATAAACCATATAATCTACATTTAAGATTAGTAGCTGTAGATTAGTATGGTTCTATAATCAAAGATTTAGATAATTCTTAATGTTCTATTAAAAGTAGATTACTTGATGATGAATTAGAAAGACAATTTGCAACTAATTTTACAAATTTAGAAAAAGTATAATTTGATAAATAAGATTATAATTTAGATAAATTAATAATTTATTTAGATGATGAATTAAATATGACTTTATAACTTCAATTTAATTGTAGTTCAATTTTAATACCTTAAATTGGATAATAAAAATAAATAACTTCATATCATTAGAATTATTATTTGAGAATGAATGTAAAGACATTACCATGTCAATTAGGTGAAATTAAGAAGATATCAAATAAGACATGTATTCCTTGTGATCCTGATTTAGGATAATATTCATTAGTTATTAATGCTTAAAGATGTTAAATTAAAGATGATATTTCAATATAAGAAATCAAATTAGCCTAATTAAATTTAAGAGCAGGATATTGGAGACCATACTTTCATACTAATTCAATAAGTTAATGTATTAATTTACTTGAAAATTGCATGGGAGGTTGGAAATAAGGTGATAATTCATGTTCAATTGGACATATTGGGGCATTATGTGAAGAATGTGATATATATGATTTTAGAGGATATGGACATTTTTCAATAAGCGTTAAATATTCATGTAGTTCATGTATGAATACTTCTAAAAACATAATCATAATTCTCATAGTCAGTATTTGGTAATTATTTAATAAGATTTAAGGACATTAATTTCTATATTCATTTCAGTTAAGAGTACTGTTGCTTTACTTAATTAGATTGGAATTCAGATATAAATGGCAAAATTAAGGATCATAAAACATTCAAAATAGTCATAATCTGCAATTTTAATAAAAATGTTAACTAATCATTTATAGATATTAACATCTATAACTACTTTTAAAATCAATTTTTAAACTGGTATATCAAATGCCTTAAATTCAATTGCCAATCCAATATAAACTATGACATATTCATTAGATTGTTTTTTAATTTATATGTTTTCAGTAGAAATTCATTATGCTAGGATGATATGGCAAATACTTATGCCATTCGTTTACATTTTAATATTTTTAGGTGTATACTTTATTATTGTTAAATTTGGTATCATTTAATATCGCTTAAGTGTTATTACTACAACATTTATTTATATATATATCTACATTTAACCTAATTTAGTGGGAGGTTTGATTTCATTAATATCATTTCGATCTATTTCTGGATATCAATGGATTCAGGCTAATGTAGCATATAGATATGATACATCCTATCATTTTATTTGGTTAATGACATTTTGTTTACCAGGATTATTTCTATTTGCATTTCTGATTCCATTTCTATTTTACTTAGCCTTATACATTAATAGATAAGGATTGAATAAATTAAGAATCAGATAATAATTTGGATATTTATATAATGAATATAAAACAGATGCATTCTTTTGGGAAATAGTTAAAATTGTCGAAAAAGATTTATTGATAATCTTTCTAGCATATTATGATGATATTATAATTAAGAAAGGTACTTTAGTACTCCTAGTTATTTTTGTTTATTCAGAACTTAATCGTAGATTCAAACCATATAAATTACTTAATCTTAATAATTTAGATATACTTTCAGCTAAGGTTTGTAAGATATCTATCATTTTGGGATTTGGTATATATATTGATGAATTATATGGTTCATTAGATATTCAAATTCCTTATTTTATTATTTTAGCAATCATAAACTTATTTTATTTCTTTCTACTTCTCAATGAAATATTAAAATCTTACTGGATAGAATTAGAAGTATAATTTGATAAAGTTAGAGATAAGATAAGATAAATCGTTCCTTGGATTATGAAACATTCATTTTTCAGAAAGCATTTAGAAAATAGTGTTTAAAGAAGGAATCGAATTTAGACTCGATATTAGAAGATTAAGAAGTATTTATTTAGTTATGCTAAACCAATTATTGAATTAAAATATAATATTAATTCCATTTCTAATTAAATCAAACCATCTATAAGCAATCCATAACTATTATTAAATTAGGATTAAGTAAAGAAATTTCCAAGTATATTTGAATATCTAAATGATAATTTATAAAGCAGAACAAGTATTGTTATCAGTTCATTTTGATTATATAATAATATATATAACATTAGATTATTAATATTATAAACTAATTATTTTATTAAATTATGTTAGATTTATAATTTAATTTTTATTTTAATACTTTCTGCTATATATTAGATAAATATAATTGAATCTTTTTGTTAAAAGATTAATCAATTGATATCTTTCCAATGATTTTATACATTAATTTTATTAAAGAAATAATGATTATATGGATTTAAATAATTCAACTAAAATTAACTAATTAATTGATTAATTTTTATATTTAATTATTAAAAATAATAAATAAAATTGTTATAACATATACCAATATTAGAAATAATATCACTTGATTATATGTATGATCATATCAATTATTTTATAATTCATAAATATTGTGTAATTTTTAACTTTCATCATAAATCACTAGGTATTACCCATTATTTGATAAAGTTCCATATATATAATCAGTTTTATAACATTATTAATATGCAATCTTATATTTTCCATTATCCTATTTTCTTAATATGTAAATGTATTCTTTATATCTAACAAATAATAAATTCAATTCTGGTCGAAATTCAAATGTTTGATATAATTTAAATTCTAAAGTGGGTATAGTATTCAACTATATTTCATAATATTTAGTAAAATCTAATTTATTTTATTAATATACGATTGCACTAGTAGATCCATTCCTACTTTTAAATAAAATAAATTAATCATCTTTTAAAAATAATGCCCTATCTGGATAAATGGGTGTAGAGTATTTAATAACTTCAGTCATAAATTTCCATTTATTATCTTGATCCTTTTTCCAGATGATTGTTTCTTAGTATCCACAAGTTAATAGTAGATTTTCTGAATTGTTTAGACTTAATGAACTCACCCATTCAGTATGCTTTTTTAATGAATATAAATGTGTTATCTTATTCTATTGAAAGTCAACAGCCAAAATATTTATGGTTGAATTCTTGTTTCCTTAGATAACTAGATCTTCCTTTGAGTTAAGAACAAGACATGAAGTTTAAATCTTTTTGTTATATATATATGGATTTGATTTTGTCCATTAATTATTTTAATGTTATTTCCAAATATAAACTTCTGTGGAGCCAGAAATAAATATATTCTAAGTTTTACTAAATACTAAACTAGTAATAAAACCAGAAAATTAATATTTTTACCATTAATCCAATTTACCTTCATTAAATTTCCAAATGATAATTTCTTTATCATTACTTGTTACCAATATATTTGTTTAATAATTAAATGCCAAGGCTTAAGATATTCCATCTTACTTTATAGAGTTACTTAACAATTTTAATTGAATATTACCATCTTTTGAAAGTTACCATGATACTTTTTCAACTTATTTTCTTTATTCTTTAACATCACTTATATTTTTAATAAATTTCTTGTATTAATGAAGACTATGTGCTTCAATTAATTATTTAATTCCTATTTATAATTTATTAAATTATGAGTAATTCATTTTATCAAAAAAATCAAATTAAAATGTATGCAAATATTATTCTCTATTCCTAATATAATTATCTGATTCATCAATAAAGCTATATATACAGGAATCTTATTTTTTTTAATTCAATTCTCTAATCCAATTTGTATTGGCATTAATCATTATTTCAATAGCAGATGTTAATTTAGTCTTTAAATTTTCTAGATTGATATTGTATTAATCAATTATTTGAATATATAAATCTGCAATTTCATTTATCATTCTCCTCTTTTTGATTAACTTATCTTTTATAATCTTTTACATAGCATTAAGACTCATACTCTCAACTACTTGAAGTTGATCATCAAACATTCTTAACATAAGAATCTTTCCTATTTATTTAATTTATGATCCATAAGAATAGTAGTGATCATCTAATTGTGCTATTTTATACACTTAAATTCATTCTAATTTTCAGACATCTGTAAATCTTGCATATTCTTTGAATTAATTATTTAATATGATAAATTTAGTTAATATAATAAATAAAGAATAGATAATCTACTTATATACTAAATAAATTACAAATGTATTCTATTTATTAATAAATTCAAATATTCAATTTTTCTTGATACATTTCTAAAAATTCATAATTCTATAAGAATAAAACTTAAAATAATATTTAATTGGATCTACATGACACTTTTTTAATATATTATATATATACATATTTTACATTGATTTGGATAATATCAAATTTTTTATTCTATAATATTCTTTTTATTTAATAAACAAGAAAATTTCAATATTTCTTATTTCAATTTTATATTATGGTAGATATACTTATTATTGTACTTAGTTTAGTTTCATTTAATTTTATATATATTTTATTATTGAAAAGTAGATTTTCCCTCAAGTACATAATTTTTATTTATTAATTCTCATGACTTCAATTTATTTCATTTGAACTTTTAAGAGAAATTAATAAAAAATTATATAAAAGATATTAAATTTTCTAAGCATAATTTCACCTTCAATATTATTATATTATGAAACATCTTTCTTGTATAATGGAGATAGTATAAATCTGATCAAAATTTATTAATAATTCATTATTTTATTGTATTATCATAACATAATTTGTTATTAATGATAATATTTTTACAGATATTAAAGTTTATAATTTTTCATGCTAAAGTATTTATATTTATTAGACAACTGCTGGCTTTACAAAAGATAAGACTAGAAACTACATCAAACAAATTAAGAAACTAAAATAGTCTATCAAAAAGTGATTTTGTAATCTCAGATGATTGAGAAAGAAATGAACCTAAATTGCAATTAGAAACACTAGTAAAGAATAGAGAAAGTCAGTTTAGATCCAAAGTTGAATCAAAGTGATAAATTATTATGTTATTAATGTTTATTGAACCCAAAGTTGGATGATAAATAAATAAATTTTAATGCTACTGTTTAAGTAATATAAGATAAATAATAATTTAAAAAGGAGCAATTAGAAAATATATTGAATACTAATTTAGGATAAATAGAATAAATTTAAAGAGATATTTGTATTTTTAAAAGTAAATTAATTAAATAGTGTGATAAAATAGTTTAGTTTACAAATGAATGGATTTCAAATATCAAATAATTGGGTTATTAAAATGTTAAATATAGTATATTTAATGAAATTGATAATTTAATTAGAAATGACAAGACAATATTTGAAAATCAACAAAAGTTATTTTAATAAATTAATTAACTCAATTAATAATATGTTGATAATGTTATCAATTAAATATAAAATTTAGAATTCAAAGAATTGTTAATTAAGAATTTTGAGAATTTGAAACTAAATTTAGTTAATATTAATTAAGAATTAGATAAATAAATTCTCTTACTCTAAGAATAAAAGAAGACTGAGGAAAGTTATTTAATATAAATAGATAATATTGATAAATAGTTAAACCTACTACCATCTTCTGGAATTGTTAAGTTAGTACCAATTTAAACTTTAAACCTCTCCTAATAATTGCGTAGGCCAGCTACATTTAATAAAGATAGAAGTCTATTTATATCATCTGATTTTTTAAATTATATTACTATTTGGCATTTTGAGAATGGAAAGCAAGATCATTCAACAACATTTGAGGTTGGTAAGGCTCCTAGAAGTATTATATGTAGTCGACAATTTAATCACATATTTACAGGTATGAATGGTGGAGGGATATATTTGTGGATATAAATTAATGATAAGGAGTGGAGAAGATCATAATTATATTAGAAACATGAGCATTGGATAAATGATATGATTTTAAATTAAGCTGAAGATTAATTATTTACTGGTGGTGAAGATCCTTATATAAATGTATGGAGTGTTGATTATTTAAATAATGAATTGACTTTTCTTTATAATTTAGATTCAAAAACTATTACCATTTTTTCATTTAGTTTAAATGATTCAGAAAATCTATTAATATCTTGTAGTGTTTGTGAATACATAATATGGGAAAAGCAATAATCAAATGAATGGAAATATTTATGTAATTAAACGACGAAACCATATTTCTAAGCAAAGTTTTTGAAAAATAATGTTTTTTGTGTATTGCCCATTAATTAACAAATAAGTTGTCTTTTTATTTATGAAATTAAAAAAGGAGTACTTAAGTAAATTGAAACCAAAACTATAGAATTTATAAATGATAATGATTGGGAGGAAAAAATGAATTTCCCTATTTTATATAATAAATTGAAAAATATTCTTGTTGTTAGATCAAAAAGGTTTATTTATTTTATAAGATAATCTTAAAATGATTGTTTTGAAATTGTTGATAAAATTATTTGTTAAAAAGATGTAAGTAATGGAATTCTATCGGATGATGGAAAATTTTTGATTTTCTTTGATATGCCAACATTGAGTCAATTTACTTATGAGTTATTATATGAATGAATTAGGTTATTTTAATTTATCATAATTAATATTATTTAGAGTATATAGCTGTAATTTTCTTATCCAATCAAAGAGTTTAAAATATCTAATGAATTTCAATTTTTTTATTTTAATATATGTTCAATTTAGTTCTTTAGATTCTACCCAAAATTTGAGGAAAAACCTAGCATTATTAAAAGTAAGTTTTATTTTTCCTTTTGAAACTGGAAATTAGTTTAGGTATTTAAGAAAATTAAAAATCTATATTGTATATTTGAAATTTGAACACACTTAAATACATTAAAATTCCAACAGAAATTGAAAAATGATAGTCAGTATTATATTATTAATTAAATTAATACAAACCAATTCATTTATCATAATTTAATTAGCCTCGTTATTCATTTTTCTTCCTATCAATTTCCAACCAAATACTTACTTTTTTACCATCTTTATATTCACCGATATAAATAATTTAGTTTAAATCCTTAAAATCATCGCATAAATCAATCCATTTCCCAATCTTAATTCCTTTATCATATGATCCGCCTCCACTAAACATTTATCCTATATTATTAATATTTTACATCTATTGAAAAGGTAATTTAACATTGTATCTATAACTAATGTCCCATCGACCAACTTTTTTATTGTCTTTATAATTTCCTTTATAAGTGACTTATGAATAATCCTTAAAACCTTCGCTCAACTCTACCCAGTACCCAATCTTATATCCATTAAAAAATTGATCATATGATCCTCCACCACTATGACAGACACTCTTTATTATTGTTATTTTTACATCAATTTATATGGCTCATCAATATATCTCCTATACCAAATATCCCAAATACCTAATTTTTGACCTTGTTTATATTCACCTTTATACATGACTTAAGAATAATCCCCAAATGCTTCGCTCAACTCAATCCATTTACTAATTTTAATGCCATTATCATATGATCCACCACCACTAAAATTTACTTTAATTTTTTAATATCTTACATCTTTTTAAATTTTTCTTCCTCATTGTACAGTATATCCCATTTACCAACCTTTTAACCAAGAGCATAATCACCCTAAAATATGACCTATTAAATCTTCCTAAATTTTTCACTCAATTCAATCCACTTCCCAATCTTAATTCCATCTTCAAAATGTCCTCCACCCCTACACAACATAAACTTAATTTTGAATATTTACATTTATTTATTCCTTTAATCTTCATCATGCTTCCTATACCAAATATCCCATTTACCAACTTTTCTACCTATTCTATAATCACCACAATAAGTCACTTATGAATACTCATAAAATCCATCACTTATCTCTACCCAATATCCAATCTTATTGCCTTCACCTTCTTTTTCATATGATCCGCCACCACTAAAAATACCCACATATTTTATTCTTTACATTTACTCATTCTTTTAATCTCCTTCATATTTCATATACCAAATATCCCATTTACCAACTTTGCGACCATATTCATATTCACCTTTATATGTTACTTTTGAAATATTCCTAAACCCATCACTTATCTCAATCCACTGTCCTATTTTAATATCATCACTATATAATCCTCCACCACTAAAAAATAAAGCTTTTTATTTTCTAATATCTTACACTTATTAATTCCATTAATCTCCCTCACCCTTCCTATACAACATAACCCATCTACCAACTTTCTTACCATTTTTATATTCACCATTATTAATAACCTATGAATCTTCATAAAACCCATCAGCCAGCTCTACCCAATACCCAATCTTCATACCATCGCCTCTTGCATTATATGATCCCCCACCTCTAATAAATATCAAATTATTATGATATTTACATTAATTAATTCTATTGATCTACTCGTTTCTTGTACCAAATATCCCATTTACCAATTTTTTTCCCAATTTTATATTCACCATTAAACGTTACTTAAGAATACTCATAAAAACCTACATTCAACTCAATCCATTTCCCGCATTTAATGTTGTTGAAATAAGATCCACCTCCACTAAAAAATTCGTACTATATATTTTTTAATATTTTACATTTATTAATTTTTTGAATCTTTAACATGATTTTTATACCAGGTTTCCCAAATACCAACTTTTTTATTATTTTAATATTCACCAACATAAGAGATTTAAGAATAGAAATAAAATCCCTCACTCAATTCCATCCATTTTCCATTCTTTTCTGAATATATATTGTAAGATCCACCTTTACTACATTTAATTTTATAAATTGATACATCCTTTAATTTTCAAATTCATAACTCCAGTTTCCTATCCTAAAATCATTTTTGTACTCTCCTATTTCAAAAACGAAAGCTTGACTTTAATAATAATAAATAATAACTTCATACAAAAATTTTTTGCACATTCCATCCACAACCCTTTCTTGACTCCATAACAGTAATAACCTCCAACATTTGAGAGGACTTATTTATTCCAGAATGCTGTCCACTTACCATTCCTTCTCATATCTTCTCCATAATCTCCATCCCATTACAGATATTTGATTTATTCATAATTGGTTAATATTTCAGTCTAGTTTGAGAGGCCTACAGTTTTTTATCTATCATATTTTAGCAATAAATTTATTACATTCTCAGAGTTTAACCATCATTTCCTAGATATTTTATCTTTTAACCAGAAATGTATAAAATTTCAAATTAGATTTATGTAAATCTTTTTTGTATATCATTCCATAATTTTCCTTCATATTATTTTCTACTTAAATGCTATTTTAAGTCTTCATTTAAATTATTATTGAAAGTTTTTATGTTTTCAACTAAACAAGATTGAATTTTATTCAATTAGATAAGAAGGGATTTTTATTATAAATCAAAATTATTTAATTCCTTTCCATCTTTTAACTCCATAATTTTGTTCAAATCACTAGATGAAAATTCTTCTGGATCTAAATATCTCTATAATAGATTATCATAAATTGAGAGTGTAATTTCTAAATTTATGAAATATTTTTTTAATTAATCTAACTTTTTTTATATCCTTTCAATCTCACTCTCTATGTTTTTCTTAATACTTACAAATTTTTTGATATTAGATTAATTAGATTTTTTATATTATTCAATTTTTTTCTTAACCTCGTTGATATATTTTTCTTAAAATTCAAAACTGGAAATAAATTAATTGGATGAGGCTGGATGTAAAAATTGACAAAGTAAACAATATTTTCTTTTTTAATCATAGGGAGCTATGCAGATTCTATTGAGTAACTTGTTTTTATGAAGATGACAATATTTGTTGAAGTTCTCCATTTTTTTAATAATTTAAGGGTTTATGTATTTCTATTATTCTAAATAAAATGTTTCAAAATAATACTGTTATTTATTTATTTTTTTGAACTAAAATTTAAATTAATGAAGTGTTTAAAAAGAACATTATTTTGTTTAAAAGAAGTTTACAAATTTTATTAATTTTAAGAAAATTAGATCATTATATAAAATTATTAGTATAACTTATCCCTACATTTTAGATTAGGCAAAATGTCAATAAATCAAAAATAAAGTATCAAAAGATTTAATATTGAAATGAGTTTTATAATAAAAGTGAACCTTTTTTTAATAATATTCAAAGTAGTTATATATATTGATGCAATTAGTTTGAATTTCATAATAGAATTAATTGAATAGCTTGATATTATATTTATTATCTTTTTAACCTTATTTGGGAATAGTGATATAAGTAACTATAGAAAAGGGTAAAATACAAACTCAAGTAAATTACTAAGATTTAGATTATTTTAACTCTTTACAAAAGGTTCGAAATCATACAATTAACTTGAGTTACAGATAATAGCTATTTAATCTTTAATAATCTGATTTAAATAAATTAGTGTTTCATAATTAAAAAAACTTTATTATTATAATAATTAATATCAATGATATTATGATCTAAGTGAAATACATTTGCTAAAATCCATAATATCATAATTTTTAATGTCAATCTTTTAAAATTGATTCATAATCAAAATTAGTATTATTCTTATGGAGTATTCTATCAATGCAAGAAGATATTGTAAGCCTTATTATTTCAAATAATTTAGATTTATAATAATCAAAAAGTTTGAACTTTTCTTTTCAGGTTTTAAAACTGTAAACCTAAATCAAATATATGAATTTCATTAAAATAACTTTGCTTTTCAATTAAATTTCACCTTCTCACTCTAATTATATAAATTATAGACTAATTCTATTTATGATTTAAATGTTAAGTTTGGAATTATTTTTTATTTATCTAAATAATTTCTTTTTGGAAATTTACATAAGTTGGAATCATTATTTTACTCAATTATTTTTTTCTAATATTTGAATTTATAACAAAATAAACTAAAAATTTTAATATTAAAATAATTGTACTTTTTTATTTCTTAATTAATCTCTAATCTATATTCTATAAACCAATCATTAAAAATCTGACTTTTATTAGCTACTCTTCATTTTAATTAAAATATATTAAAAAAATTTAACATGCAGGAACCTAAATCATAGACTAATACTTAATATAAATATTTCAGCTATAAACTCTTATCTAGGCTAAAAATTAATTAACATAATTGTCGTGCCCTTTCAATTGATGACAAAAAGAATCTTGTTTTTTTTTCAACACAAAAAGGCCTCTAGATTTACTAATTAAAAAATGGAATGTTGAAGTAACTATCTCAAATCAACTCCTAAAAAGATGTATCTGTAATTACAACTTTTATGAATAGATCTTTATTTCTTACAGGATAATATTCTTCATCAATTATTGTATGGTCATATAATTTAATGTTTAAAGGAAAATACTTGATGAAAATGAAAAAACATGCTTATAAAATTTCATGTCTAATTATATACCCTAACCCAGAAAACCTTATTATTAGTGGATCACACGATAACACAATAAAATTTTGGTATCTGACCCCATCAAGTTCATTTAATTGCTATTAGACTATCAAGGAACAAGAATGCTCTGTTTTGGCATTATCATTAAATTAAAAAGGTGATACTTTAATCTCATGTGATGATTATAATTTAATTTTAATTATGAATGGTTCCTACACATCGAAATGGTAAGTTAAATAAAAGATCAAGTTAAAAGGAGAGAGATTAACTTTTCTCTCAAACCATTCATTTGCTATTTAACACAGAAACTCTGAATTTATTTTTTTTTATGGATACGATTACACCTCTGAGTAATATGTACGAATAAACAAACTTCAAATTAAAGGCTGGAGATAACATGACAGAGGACAGTTCTTTTAATATTTCATCCCATCTAAATAAATCCTACTAAGTAAAAATGGATATACTTTAAATTTAATAAGATTCACTTTAGTTTCATCTTCTTATTGCGAATGTTACCTTGAATAATCAATAGAATTTCAATAAAATAGTGAAGTTGGTGGAGTTTATGGAACTATGAGTAAAGATGGGCAATTTTTGATAACTTATGATGATGAGTCTTGTGAGATTTAGATAAGAAAATATGTGGAAAAAATATGAATATTATAAGATTTCATTTAAAATTAAATTGGATTAGTTTTAATTCATTTCTGCCAATTTGAATTTTCTTTTTGAATTACATTGTAATTATTCAATATTAAAATATAATATTGTAATAATATTTATGATAAAATCTAATTTGTTTTTATATTTGATTAATAAGGATATAAGTAATTGAAAAACTTTCAATTAATTTTGATCAAAGATTAGTTAAAGGATGATAATTTGCAAAAATGATTGATGTACAAGATTGATATGTTTTCTTATACTTTAAGGCAAGTTTTAATGAATTTCCACCTCATTCAAATTATAATTTGAAGAGTTTATATATCTAAATTATTTAATTTTAGTGTTAAAAGTATTTAGTTAACTTTCTTTCATATAAGAGTAAATAAATCATAGTCCATTTTTATGGGGTCTTATACTTTACTATCTTATTTATTATTTGTTTTGTTCAATAAAAATCATTATTCATAACTCGATAACTTAAAACAGATTTTGAAATCAAAAAACTTATAAAGGTAAACCTTGTTAGATGCAGAATTTATATAGTTAATTATTAAATAGCTTTTATATAATAAAATTGGAAGTAAATACTATTACTAAATTTAAAACTTTATCAAATAAGTAATTAAATTAAAAAATTTTATGATTTCAATTAACTTAAATCGAAGTAAAATATTCTACAGTTATTATAAAATGAAATCTTACTAATGAAAATAGATTATATTTATAAAATGAATTTTAAAAAAGAATAACACATGAGCAAATTTTATTGCTCTTAGAGAAAGACTTTAATTCAATAAAGAGAAGAACAGTTCTTCAAATTATTGAAAAATAGAATCAGATAATAAATAGGAAGAAATTCCATAAATCAAAATTCACCATCAATAGAAATTAAATTTTTATCATAACTTTAGGCTTTTATGAGTAATTTCATATTTATCATTAAATCGTTATACCTACTTTATGCAGGAATAAACAAAAAGTAATGATAGATCATTTGAAAAATTAATTAAATAAATTCAAAAGAACATTTGAAAAGCAATCTTCATATAGTGGAGATGCATGAATTCTAAATTATCTTATTTTTATTAATGATATCTATAATTTTCATTAAGAATTTTTGATTTACTAAATTCTTTTTAAAAATTCTTTCTCATCAGTGCTGCAATACTTAATTGCCTACTCATAATTTTCTATGGCTAATTTATTTTTTTTCAATATTGTTAAAGAATCACCTATTAGGATACAATAAAAAAATAACCCTTATTAATATAAGCATTTGCATAATTGGGATCTATTTAGATTGCTTTATCGTAGCAAATAATTGTATCTTCATATTTCTTAAGACTTTGTAAACAAATACCTATTACAATAACAAAATTATAAACCTTTATTATTATATGCAAATGCATAATTAGGATTTATTTATATTGCTTTATCATAGCAAATAATAGCATCTTCATATTTCTTAAGATTTGCTA